GTATATATATATATATATATATATATATATATACACACAACGTAATTATACACAGTGCATCCTCATATATTATGTAAACACAAACTTTTATTTTGGATGCGATTAATCGTTTGACAGCCTTAGCAATAAATATATTTAGAGGGAGGGATTTACATAGAGGTGGAGCAAATTCGTATACAGGTTTAGGAAAAAACTTGTATTGAAACTGACAGTGAGAACTTGTTCAAAACAAGATTCAAGAACAGGAATGCCAGGTCTCTCTCTTGCTGAGACAAAAGCTCACAAGAGTCCCCAAGAGTTTCAGTAATCCGTTTCATTTAACTTATAATAGTGAGAAACAGGTTGGGTAGGAAATAACCATTAAGAGTTTCAGTAATCTGGCCAATACAGAAAAACAGGAGTGGCTGGATATAATGACCATCCTAATAATTCACATGTTTTTATTCAAAAGTGTTTTTTTATGCTCACCAAGACTGCTTTTATTTTATCAAAAATATAGTGAAAAAAACTGGGGTTGTCGAACAATTAATCGCGATTAATCGCATCCAAAATAAAAGTTTGTATTTACATAATATATGTGGGTGCACTGTGTATAATTATTTTATATATATAAATACACACACATGCTTGTATATATTTAAGAAATATTTTCATGTATGTATGTGTATATATATATATATATATATATATATATATATATATATATATTGATGTGTATATATAATTTATATTATATATTAATATTTTATATATAAATAATATTTTTTTCTTAAATATACATGCGTGTGTGTATTTATACACACACACACATATATACAAAATAATCATACACAGTGCACCCACATATATTATGTAAACACAAACTTTTATTTTGGATGCGATTAATCGTTTGACAGCCCTAATAAAAACACATCACAAAAATTACTAAGAAAAATGTTTACACACTTGATTTGTTAACAAATCAAGTGTATTTTATAAAACGCTATACAGTGACTTGACTAGTATAGTAAAGATAAGGGAGTCACTAATTTGAATTCTCCCGGTCTGTTTTGACCGAATAGATAACATTAGCCAACGTTTCCCAAGAGTATTTTAAAACCTTCTTAGCCATTAGCCGTAATCACCATTTTTGTCCTATTCTAAACCCCACACTTATATTACTACTTCCATTCTCTGAGGAGTTGAATGGCTTCAGCTTGTACATTTTGTTTAAGACTCCCGATTCAGTTTCACCAAGTGCTCATCAGAGAAGAATGTAAACAAATTAATTCAGATTAACTTTAATAGCTTCTTTAGATTTCCTCTCGGGCCGCTCTCCAAGAGGAATTAGGTTAATAGTTTCGCATTCAACTTCCTTGCTGTTTTTTTTTTCTCCACCTCATGCAATTTCGTAAAGCTTGTAAAATGCGCATCCAGCTAGAGCACAAATTTAAACTTAACGTGAGTACAGCGCAGAAAAACCGAGTGGACTTTAATGTAACTTTAAACCTCAAAAATTCAGCCAAGTGGAGACTCATGAAGGCAATTGTAACAGAGCCCCTTTCTTACTCTTTTATCCTCGACCCCATTTGCCACAATAACCCTGATTTGTATTATACCTCCATTTGTTCGGGAAGTCTTTGTGGATTGCAGTTAATCAGTCCAATTCGCTCCACTTACAGCTCTCATCTCTGTTGTACTGAATGTAATTTTAAAAGAACATCATTACACTCATTTTGCTTTGTGAGAAATGGCCGTTTTCAGAACGGGCCTCTTTTAGAAGAGTTTTCTTGGCAAGGCCCATGTTAAAGGGATAGTTCACTTTGAAATTAATTTTTTATATGTTTTAGCTTACCTAGAGGGCATCCAAGATGTAGGTGTCTTATCAAAATAAACGAATCCTTTTTGGTGTCATTTGGTTGATTCAATGAATGAAATGAACGAGTTGACTCTGGAAAAGATTTGTTCATTTTGATGAACGAGTTCAAACAGGAGAGTCTTAAACTTTGTTATTTTTTTTTTTTAAATGAGCGATCGTTTCGCTTGATAAGACCCTTATTCATCGTCTGGAATCGTTTAAAGCCCTTTGAACAGTTTGCAGTTTGCACTGAAACTGTCTTTTGGACCTTGAACCGTTTGGTTCCCATTGAAGTCCATTATATGGAGAAAAATCCTGGAATGTTTAACCTTAATTTCTTTTCAACAAAAGAAAGAATGACATGGATATCTTGAGTGACATTAGTGAAAAGTTTTTTTTAAAGTGAACTACTCCTTTAAACGGTTTATTTAGGACAGTACTATATAAATAAAACTACATGCAATGTTTATGATTATTTTGTTTAGTTATCTTATCAGCAGACCTGTATGTCCCCAAAAATCCTTTGCGCTCTTAAAAAAAATATTATGAAGCTAAAATAAGCCAAATTACTTCAACATTTTCTTTGAATGCAAATGTTCTTTCTGTCTAAAATTACTATAATGCATTAAATTTGGTATTAGATGTAGTTTAATGCAACATTGAATTTGTGATTTAAAGTAACTACTGATATTAAAGTTAGCATGAAGCGTGTTTTCTTCCGTATTGTGACGTGTGTGTGTATATATGAAATGGCTTCTGGAATAGAAAATAAATGTTGGCTGGCAATTTATTGGATGGTAGTTGGGTGTTGCTAACTCAATGGAGGCAGATCTGAATGTCAGTTGTGGAAATATTTAGTGCGACCCTTCACAAGAGGCAAATCGTTTGGAAGGGAGGGAGGTTAAAAAATATGGTGTGCATCGATACATAATTTATAATAAGCACTGCAACATTCTATGATTTTTATTTCTTGGTAACTTTTAACAAATGTGTTTTTAACCAGGAGTAACCGTTCATACAGCACATGAGCACAAGCTGTGATTGGTTACATTTTGAATGGTATTTTCAGTAAACATGGCACATGTGTCTCTAAAAGCAAATAAACCCCTTTTAAAAACACGTCTGCTCTTTTACCTCCATAGGATCCAATCAATCACAGTCCCATTGTTCAGAGAGGCTTCGGTCTGTAGTGAGATATTGCCCCGCGAGTTCAAAGGTGCCTCGTAAATTTTGGGATCCTCAACAATTAATCTACACATGCAACAGTTCAAAGAGACCTCTAATAAATCTAGTCTAACCTCAGCCTGATAGACCTACTCACTTTTGTTGTCTAATATCTGCATTCGCATTTCAGATCGCTAAAATCTTTTGTTTCGGTGTTCTTGTTCTACAATTTGACTGTTTTAGCAACATGATTTGGATTGGTGAGTATTTAACTTGTATATAGCTTTTCTTGCACTCAGAGCGAGGAGACATGTGCGAGTAGGAAGGTGTAGTGTGAATGTTGCCCCGAAGGGATCTGTGTGATCATAAATCAGCCTTCATTAGGTCTAGAGAAGGGGGAACCCACTGATTTACAGTGAGGAAGTGACACTAAACCCCATCAAAGCCTCTAGTGTGGAACAGAACATCATGGAAATGGCCTCTTTAGTAACTATGATTCTTTTTCAGAGTCAGTTTTACTAACTTCGCTGAACTAGCCTATTGCCACACAGATGTGGTGTTCAAACGTGTGCATTTTCAGTAACAAGCTCTCTAATGTAGCATCTGGGGCCAGTTGTTTAAAACATTTAATCTGGATCAAAATGATCTGGATTTGGAAATCCCATTTTTTCCTATTCAGGGGTCAGGTAATCCGTCTTGCTTTTATGCCGGTTTTTCAAAGCAAGACATTCAAGATTACCAATCCGGATTACCACCGTCATATGTAGCATTAGAAAGTCCAATTCATTCTAATAAATGTCCTTCCTTCCTTCCTTCCTTCCAGTTTTAATCCTTCCTTCCTTGCTTCCAGTTTTAACAGTTTTAATCCTTCCGTCCTTCCTTCCTTCCTTCCAGTTTTAATCCTTCCTTCCTTCCCGTTTTAACAGTTTTAATCCTTCCCTTCTTCCTGTTTTAACAGTTTTAACCCTTCCTTCCTTCCTGTTTTAACAGTTTTAATCCTTACTTCCTTCCACTTTTAATCCTTCCTTCCTTCCAGTTTTAACAGCTTCCTTCCTTCCAGTTTTAATCCTTCCTTCCTTCCTGTTAACAGTTTTAATCCTTCCTTCCTGTTTTAACAGTTTTAACCCTTCCTTCCTTCCTTCCTTCCTTCCAGTTTAAACAGTTGTAATCCTTCCTTCCTTCCTGTTTTAACAGTTTTAATGCTTCCTTCCTTCCTTCCTTCCTTCCTGTTTTTAACAGTTTTAATCCTTCCTTCCTGTTTTAACAGTTTTAATCCTTCCTTCCTGTTTTAACAGTTTTAACCCTTCCTTCCTTCCAGTTTAAACAGTTTTAATCCTTCCTTCCTTCCTGTTAACAGTTTTAATCCTTCCTTCCTGTTTTAACAGTTTTAACCCTTCCTTCCTTCCTTCCAGTTTAAACAGTTTTAATCCTTCCTTCCTTCCTGTTTTAACAGTTTTAATGCTTCCTTCCTTCCTTCCTTCCTGTTTTAACAGTTTTAATCCTTCCTTCCTTCCAGTTTTAATCCTTCCTTCCTTCCTGTTTTAACAGTTTTAATCCTTCCTTCCTTCCAGTTTTAATCCTTCCTTCCTTCTTTCCTTCCAGTTTTAACAGTTTCCTTCCTCCCTTCCAGTTTTAATCCTTCCTCCCTTCCAGTTTTAATCCTTCCTTTCTTCCAGTTTTAACAGTTTTAATCCTTCCTTCCTTCCAGTTTTAACAGTTTTATTCCTTCCTTCCGTCCTTTCCTTTCTTCCTCCCTTCCTTTCTTGCTTCCTTCCCTCCTTCGAGACTGCAATTTTGTATCATTAGAAAAAGCAATACTGTCTTTTTGATATTGTTATTGCGATGTTATAGGGACAGAGTCTGTATTTTATAAGCAAGCTCATTTTTGCTATAGGGATTTTTTAACAATCTAATGGTCAAACTTCTTGAACACACAAAACCAATGCTTTGAATTGGTATGATTATTGTTATTGAGCCGGTACTTCTCCTCATTTCCTAGTCGGATCAGCCCAGCCCGGCCAGCTCCAGTTCCAGTTCCAGCTCTGGCTTTGGACGTGCACACAAGCGGCAAGGTAACTTTTCAAATATCTACCAAATCCTGTTGATTGGTTAAAGTCTGGGTCATTTCAAGCCTCTTTTCTTTCCCACGGAGTGCATTTTACTAGCTATATATTAGTTTATTTTATTAATATAAATGAAAAATGACTGATGTTGGATCTTTTGACATAACACTAAAGAAAGAAAAGCTTTTTTAGACATTTGCCTCCCTTATTCACCTGTAGTCCTGGGTCCTTTGCGGTCGGTGATCCCAGATTTGCACTCGGATGAAAACGAAGAGGATTCTGAAGAGGAGGATGATAATGACATGGACTCGGACTTAGAGCGACCGTTACACACGCAAATGACACATCGTCACCGCAGGTACATGTCTATGAAAAGCTTCCAATTAACCCTGGATGCAGACAAAAAAAAATCAATTTTCTATATTATATCCATGCCTGCATATCATGCTGTGTAGCTGACGTGAGGACACTCGGATGGGGATAATGAATGGTGAATATCTGTCACGTATTTCGCAGGGTGAGTTTAAGTGACGGCAGTGACAGTGAAAATAGCTCTGCCTCTTCACCACTGCCCCATAATGACCCCCCACCTCTACTGAAATCCACCAATAACCAGGTGAATCATTCTATTCCTGTAGTCCTGATTTCACACTTCCATTTCAACGTTTGTGCTTATCACGAGCAATGAGGAGAAAATTATATGTGGAGGAAAAGGAAATTGAACTATATAACTGCTTGAGTGAGTGAGTGTATGTGTGTTGTTGGTGTTAAAACTGGATATTATAAATATTTATAATATAAATTTACACGGCCATGCAAAAGTTTGGGCTCAGTAAGTTAATTAAATGTAAATTAATGCTTTTATTCAGCAAGGATGCATTCAATTTATCAAAAGTGACGGTAAATATATTTATAATGTTGCAAAATATTTCTATTTCAAAACAAGCAGTACATTTCAACAAATTCAGCAAGGATTACAATTATTAAAATGAAAAAAAACATCATCTAAGAATAGAAAAAAATGCATCATGGTTTCCACAAAATATTAAGCAGCACAACTGTTTTCAATAATGATAATAGGAAATGTTTCTTGAGCAGCAAATCATCATATCAGAATGATTTTCTGAAGGATCATGTGACACTGAAGACTGGAGTAATGATGCTGATGCTGAAAATCATTTCAAATTTGGTCACTGGAATACATTATTCGATTAAATAAACGCAGCTTTGGTGAATATAAGCATTTAACAAAATCGGATCGACCCCAAACTTTTGAACGGTAATGTATACATTATTAAATTATGATACATTTTTCAGATCCACGAAGTCAAAAGTCCTATGAAACAAGCAAAGATGGACAAAAATAAAAACCTCGACTGTGACAAGGTAAGCAGTTTTATTTTATTTTATTTTTTGCATATGTGCTAAATTTAATTATAGTCATATAGCGCATTCACAGCCTATCGTTGTGATATTAATACACTTTAATAAGTTGAATTGTGCGAATACATTGTGTGTGGCTATTGCTAAACAATTTTAATGCTGTTTTAATTCGCATTTGATGTCCAAAAAAGCAATAACAGCTGAAAACCCCCTGCAGTTCAGGACACCACAACACATGGCACATCTTAGACATGTCACATTTAGTGACGGCGTGATTGATCAATCTGAAACGTGTCTCCTCTTTTATTGATGAATCTAACATCTCGTTCCGCAGGCGTACTTGGATGAGCTGGTTGAGCTTCACAGAAGACTAATGGCACTGAGGGAAAGGCACATATTACAGCAGGTAATGAATGAGGAGCATGCCCTGTCAGAAGTCAGCTTTCCTAAATCACTCACTCCTGCACGAAGAGACCTATGCATCTGAAACACAGTGATATATTCCTTAAGCGCAGAAAGACCTTTATGAGGGAACATGAGAAGGGACACTTAAAAACTCCCTCTCGGTGTTCAAGGATCACTGGGAGCTTTACCTGAAAGTTTAGAAACCTGTAAAGTTTAAAGTTATTACCCTCAGCATTAACATGTCAATGACTATCTGGATGTAATAAATCATACTGGTAACTGTAGGTTTTCTCTTCCCTTCAAGTGCTTGCCAAGTCAACTCTTTGCGGCCCATAATTCCCGTTCTTTGAGGCCTATTTGCTTTGACACAATGGAGAGTAATACTTCTCTCTTTCCAAAGATTTGCTGTGCCCTTCTGTTGCAAAGCCTGTGGTGGTTTAAATCTGGAAGACGTCCCAAATGAGGTCCAAACGGCGCAAATGTACATCTTAATCACGCTAATCCTCCAAAGTTTTGTGCAATAATCCTCCTTCTCTGCAATGTATCCCAAGATATGGCATTGATTAACTTCCATGATTATCCTTTAACGAAAACTGGAAAATTTGTTGATGTCATTGGCAAGCTTTATTCTTTATCCTGTCAAGATTTATTCTTCATTCTGGGACGTCTATGATATATAATATATATATGGGTAAAAAAAAAAATTTTTTAAACACACATATGTAATAATAATAAAAAATAAATAAATATATATATATATATATATGTATGGGATACATACACTTATATTTAAAAATATAAATGTTTACATTTATTTGACATTTTATACATTAAAAATATACACACAAAACATTATATATATATATATATATATATATACATGTAAATTTATTTTAAATGTTATAAATTATATATTTTTTATTGTTTACACAAAATGTAAAGTAAATGAATACATTTATATTTTTAAATGTATATCAATTATATATACACACACACACATAGCTTAATTATATATATTTTTGTATATTTTACACACACATATTACATTTACATTACACCTCCAAGGGCATCCAAGATGTAGGTGCCTTTGTTTTTGCAGTAGTTTCAATTTTTATATTTTTAGGTCAAACTGTTCTTGTCTGTCAGTCATATAATGCAGGTCTATGGTCACCACCTCAAAGAGCATGCACAGAGAAGTCCAAATTAAACATGATTTAATGACTTGTAAATGTAAGTACACATTGATGGCCTAAAACACGAAATCGGCGGATTGTGTGACAAAACAAACAGTATATATTTCGTTTTTAACTCTTGATCACAGCCAAGTCCAAGAGATCTGAGCGCTTCGGTCTGCGAAGTGATCTCTCGCGCGTGTACGTCACTCATTGTTTACACAGATAATTCAGAAGTGTTACCCTTCACTGTAAAGATCTAAACATATTTAGATATACAGGAAATTGCAACAGAAGACGTTGATTTTTTTATTTTTTTTTCCGCAACCCCGCAAGATCACTTCCGGCGCTTGAGCAGACCGACTTGGACGTGGCTGTGGTTACAAGAGCTAAAACGATATAAATACTGTTCGTTTTCTCACACAAACCGCTCGTTTCTGTATAAATGTGTGTATATGTATGTATAACTATACTATATAACTAACATATTGTATAAAGTTTTTTTAAACATATTGTATAAATAGTTTTTTAATTATTATTTCTTTCTACCTTTTATCAGCAACAACTTTCACAATAACCTTCTATTGTCTGTTTAAACTTCCTACATTTTAAACAATGGCAGCACATCCACTTTTTTTAGTCCAGGCTACAGGCGTACGAACAGCTGACTTCTATCTTCAGTGTCACAACAGGCCTCTAGGTCTCACTGTGCTTCTGGCCCACGTTCAGGAGAAATTGAAGAAATCCCTTCCATATGCGGCTTTTGCTTTGTAGTGTGAAACGGATCAGGTTTGGGTCCCATTAGGGTCCAGTTTAATCCGTGCGCTCTCTTTGTAATCACAGTCCAACCCCCTTCTGAACCAGTGAGGACTGGAACCAATAACAGGCTGCTTTGGTAAAGCATCTTCTTCATTACAATCACAAGACGTCCTCGACGTCAATGGAGCTTTGTAGAGGAATATAGACAAAAGAACAGGGACGGCCACGTATTATTGAGAAATTCTGCTTCTGAGTGTCTGCAAAGTAACAACATTAAACTAGATTAGAAAATGCCTGTATCAAACTAAATATGAGCAAGAGTGTTGCTTAAAACAGTTTTATATTTGGTGCTTAGCCCTCTGATAATACATTTTCTCTCTTTATCTTTCAGATTGTAAACCTCATAGAAGAAACGGGACACTTTCACATCACGAACACAACTTTTGACTTTGACCTCTGCTCTCTGGACAAAACCACAGTTCGGAAGCTGCAAAGCTACCTGGAGACTTCTGGATCGTCTTGAAGACTTGTGCAGCTGGCTGCCACCAGGAGGAGGATCACACCTCCCCTTTCTCTTACTTTTGTTTTTCCCTTCTAAATAGGAACTTGTAAGGCAACGGAAGGATCCGCTTTCATTCCAGAGCTCGTCTCTCGAAACGCCTCAGAAACCGACAACATTATGACATGAGTCTGGAGATTCCTCACCCAAAAAGCCTTGATAATCTGACATTGCCAAAAAAAAAAAATCTTGCTCCAAATCGAAACTCATTTGTGTATATTGTTACTTGCGTATGAATGTTTGATGGGTTCTTTGTGATGAATGCATGTTTCAACACTGCCTTACCACATTGTCTATTTATTAAGTATGAGTTTCAAGTGTGTGTGTGTGTAAGTGAAAACGATATTAAACTTGTGCAAGCACTTGGGAACATCACCATCTCATTGGCAATGAAACATCTCATAATGCGAAACTTGAACAGGATCAGAAGCAAAGTTTTTCATGCTGTGGCGTACATCATGTAAAATGAACAGTGTCCTAATGCTGGACGGAGACGACTTTTAGACCTGTTATTCAATGAATTGCACGTTGTCTGCAATTTATTGCTGTTGCCTTGTTGAATAATTGATCATATTTTAATGGTTTTCATTGCACCATTGGAAAGAAGACGGGATCTTAAGCGAATCCGTTGACGTCTACCCAAAATGTTTCTTACGGTTGTTTCAGTTGGGAAATGTGATGTTGAATCTTCTAATGTTATTTATTGTTTTTGGGGACCACCGTTCCCGGGGCTGTTCATCCCAATTGTAGCTTGGGAGTGCTTTGTTAAACTGAGGAAATCAAGAAGTAATCAAAGTTTACTTTTTAGTTCCATTGTATGACGACTTTTCTTTTGGTTTTGAATTAGATTATATCGAATATGAGCAGATCGTGCAGTCGAGCTGTAGCCCTCGAGCTCTGCTTTGTGCAAAAGCAACAGCATTCCCTTTTCATTTCCTTATAATGTTGAATCAGAAGAGCAGGCCAGAAATATACATCATTTGGGAGTCGGAGTGGGTTCATACTGAATAATTGGCACTGTGTGAAGTGTTTCATTTTTATTTGATTTGATTGTTTTTGCTGAATGAAAATAATGCCCTGTACACTTTGTTTCCCAGATTCATTTTCTCAGCCCAAGAGCTTTTAGTTTAGTTATCATATAATGTTTATATGTGTATATAAACTTTATATGTGATTTAAAAAAATAAGAAGATATCTTTCCTTTCTTCGAAGGCCCTGACCTGCTTCCAGTTGAAAGTTCCGATAATAATATAAATTCAAAACAAAACCGTTGTGGATGTGGTTATTGACAGTGAACATTTTATCAATGAAATGTATTTTATCTGGTGAATAGAGCTACAAACATCTGAATTTACTTAAATATTACGCTACGTTCCAGGCAGGTTTTTGAGCACGTAAATCACGACTTTGTAGTATCGCCAGTCACGCCAAACTACCTGAGCGCAAGGAATTGTGGTAGCTAGATGTATTCACAAACCAGCATGGCGGACCTTACGGGGCTTATGCGCATAATCATTTCTGTCGCCAAAGGTGCTTACTCCTTGTTTATTTGAGGGAAACTGAGGAGGAAAAACAGCGCATAAGGCAAGATAAGCTGTTATATCTTTTATTTTACTGTATTTGTATATTTGGAAATGTATTTGGTATTAATTTATCCTTGCACTCAATGGACTGAAAACTAGTTAACGTTATTGTCCTAAAGTGTATTCTCACCGTGTACCGGCTGCAGAAACACTGCATCCGTAGGGGCTGCCATTGTTGTTTAGTATCGTTTCGCGGGCTATGTGACGCCAGAGCTCGTAAGTAACTGGGAGTACATCGATCTAGTACGAGTTCACGGGTAAGGTTGGAAAAACTAGGTTACAGGTTGCCTGGAACGCGGCATTAGGGGTTCCCAAACGCCCACATAAAGACACTCTCAGACATGACCTTGCTGGAAACCTTGCTGTAATTTAAAGGTAGGTTATGTGATTTCGGACAGGCTAGCAATACGCTGATTGCACGCAGCTGCCATTTTGAAATCGAAAGCGAGGCTCCGTCAAGTGGAAGAATCCCTGAAGTAGATAGAACAATGTCTTGGACTACTAACCTGAAGCTGCTGCCGCGATTTAAACTATTAGATGTTAATATCCATTATAGGATATGAATATAGTTCGTTCTTGCTTCTTTTTTATGTTCTGAATACATATAAAAATGTATTTATAAATTTCACTGTACATAGTCCACTATGAAAGAAATAAAAAATTTTAGAATAACAAATTTCTACATTAAACAGTAAACACAACAATACGCCATCGCATTCGCGACTATATGATTAGAGGCGACACAAAAATGATGGCTGCGTGACATCAGCATATAGCAAGCTAACTCCCTTTGAAAGCATGAGATCCCGCCCCTTCAGAGAGTCTCTCAAACCAAGCTTCTTCGAAACAAGTGAATGCACACAGCCAGAAAGCGTGTGTTAAACTACCTTGTGTCTCAAAGCACATAAAACACGTCATCGCTGTTTGCAAACACCCAAATGGTCTCTACTATATACATTCATAAACACTTTCTGAAATATGTGATGGTGCATGGCATCAACCTGTAACTGATGCCTCCAGGTCATTCTTCAAATTTTCAACAATAATAATCGAGACAAAGATAACTTGACCGTGATGGCTCATGTGAATCAGCAGAATTCATAAGTTCCCAATTCCTCTAACATTCAAGACATTCCTTGTTTATAGCCGTGAAAATTGACAAATGTGGAATTTTAAGACCGTTATTTGAGGAGTTCAGTGTCTGATTAATTCAGGAGGAAGTGATCATAAATGCTTCAAATGGCTATATGCTAAACTCGGCAGTTTGGCTTCTACAAAGCCTCTGTTGTTCAGCGAGACACTGAGGCTGAGGGATGGGAAGTGTGAGCACATCTCTAACAGGCTTACGGATAAGCCACTTCACTTAACACCATTCCACTCAATTCATGGGAGAGCAGCTGGCTCAACTGCACTGAACTACAGTTGTTCCAAAAGCTTATGAGTTTGAGATGTGAGCAAACGTCTAACGTTTATCTCGTCGTATTATTCGCAATTCATTAACGAGAGGTTTTTAGAGTACAAGTCATCTCCCTTATATAGGCCGTTTGTGTTGTGAGCACATGTTAGAACGACAGATAGATAGATTGATTTTTGGTGGCATACAGTAATTTATGTTATTGCATAGTTTCAAAATTGGACAAATATACATCTAGAACATGGAGTATTTGTAAATGAGTCATTTTATCCTTTGATATAATTGTTTAATCTGAAGTCTTTGATGCATTCAGCATCATTTTAGTGGTCATTCTGTAATTTAATGGCCCAGAATTACCTGTAAAATCTGGTTCCGAATCTGTGAAAAGTATGCATGACAATATAATTCAATACAATACCCTGATGTTGCATGACAAATTGGATTATTTGTTGGATCTACGGAAACTGCCCATGAGAACTAAAGACGTGTGTGTGTGTGAGAGAGAGAGAGAGAGAGATCGGGTGGGGGTTCTTTATAATCCATGTCATGCTGTCCCTCCCACCCAACACCTGTTCATTACTTCATAAATCTGAGGCATGAGCCAATTAAGACAACCACAGCAACTTACATACCAGAGCTTTGATGGGTTTGGCCACAAAAAAAAAAAAAAAAAAAAATGTCCCAAACGACATTTTGAGACAGACAGCTTTTCTTTTGGCACCATCTGTTAAGTTATTCACTCTCTGAAAGCCTTTTCAGCCCAAAATCATTTTCCTGTTAAACCTAATTCCATTATAATTAAAATAGATGGCTTTCACATGATGATCTCAGATAGTTTTCATTTGATTTGAGAAGTTTTTGTGGATCCTCACCAAACGCTGGACTTTATAAACCCCTCTCGCGTTTACGGAGACAGTCTCGCACGACGGGTCGTCTGTCTGTGTTTGAGACGCACCAGAAGTAAATCATTGTGTCCTCCTCTTCTTTTACTGAAGCCTTCTAAATGACGAAGAACAAGGGGGTGGGAAAAAAAACGGCCCTACTTTCAGGATCCTGGATTAACTTAAGCCATTTCACAGTGTTGGGTGGGGGTTCACAGTCAGGATGAGCAGCGGGACGTCCTGTTTGAGCTTCTAAATACCATTTCCTCCTATAAGAAAGAGATGAGACCATAGAAACCAGCAACCAGAGAAAACATGGCAGTACATTTGTCATCTTACTGGCACAAGGCCGAGGACCGGAGAAAAGATGAAGCAGAGCTTTAGAAATGCAGTTAAAATGGCATACACTATGGGAAGTTCGGTGAAAAGTCTTCAAATTCAGGGCTTTAAATCTCCAAATTTGCATTTCAAAAGTCAGAAATTGAATCAAGCACAAATGTTGTGTGCTGTTCACATTTGAGCTCCTCATTTTAAGGGGAATTTGAATGAAAAAATGTATATAGTAGATATATTAGTGCCGTCAACTCGAATAATCGTGATTAATCACATCTAACGTAAAAGTTTGTTTTATATACATTATATATATTTTACTATATTATACATTATATATTTTTATTTGTGTTATACAAACAGAAGCCAGAATTTTTATGTAAAATCGGAATACAATTTTTTAAAATATATATAATGTATAATAATAATATATAGTAAAATACATAGATTTTTTTAGATGTGATTAATCACGATTTTTCAGGACTAGTGTGTGTGTGTGCATGTGTATGCATTTTAGTACAGTGAACTCATTGTCATGTTCAAGAAACCAATTTGAAATGATTTGAGCTTTGTGACATGGTGCATTATCCTGCTGGTATGGTGGCCATAAAGGGATGGACATGGTCAGAAACAATGCTCAGGTAGGCCGTGGCATTTAAACGATGCACAATTGGCACTAAGGGGCCTAAAGTGTGCCAAGAAAACATCCCCCACACCATTACACCACCACCACCAGCCTGCACAGTGGTAACAAGGCATGATGGATCCATGTTCTCATTCTGTTTATGCCAAATTCTGACTCTACCATCTGAATGTCTCAACAGAAATCGAGACTCATCAGACCAGGCAACATATTTCCAGTCTTCAACTGTACAATTTTGGTGAGCTCTTGCAAATTGTAGCCTCTTTTTCCTATTTGTAGTGGGGATGAGTGGTACCCGGCGGGGTCTTCTGCTGTTGTAGCCCATCCGCCTCAAGGTTTTGCGTGTTGTGGCCGTGTTCCAAATAATCCTTTAGGTAAGTGTATATACACACACACAAATCCAGAAAAATCGTGAATCGTGAAAAATCGTGATCATTTTATATTTATATTTATTTGTAAAAAAAAAAAAAAAATCATTCAAATTCCACTTAAGTTGAGGAGTTCACATGTGAATAGCACAAAAGATTTTATTATTTTTATGTTCAGACAATCAAAAAGTAAAACAACTATAATCCAAATTTTAATTGGCTGACACATATATATTTATACAATTTTGAACCATATCATTTAAATTTAATCTTAGTATACATTTAAAGAGTTCAGATGCAAAAGCCTCTAAATGCCATTTGAAATTTTCTTCTAAAATGACCATTTTTTTATCAAGCTTGTATATTTAAGTTCAGTAATTTCACTTAAATGACAATTAATTGGTAATCTTCATTGCCATTTAAGTGAAATCACTGAACTTAAATATACAAGCTTGATAAAAATGATCATTTTAGAAGAAAATTTCAAATGGCACTTAAAGGCTTTTGCCTCTGAACTCTTCATTTGTCAACCAATTTAAAAAAAAATTAAACCTATCTTTTCAGGGCATAAATATTCTCAATTTGTGATGATTTATATCCTGGCTAAAGAAATTTCTTCTCTAGAGTTTCTTTGAAATGTAATTCAGTAAATTCCTCTCCTTATAACCCAAACTCCAATGAAACAGACCGATTCCAATACATGAATTAAAAGTGAGATAATGGATTCTGAATTTAGCATTAAAATAGTTGTTTATCTCTCTGCTTTGGAGAAACTCCCCGCGGGCCAGTTTTCAACTGAAGCCACATTCAAGCTTCACAGTTACACTGGAACAAAACCAGAGCAAATATTTGTCTATCTGTGTAATCTGTGGGCTTGCTCTGCATGGTCGTCGTGTTTGGAAGTAAGTGGTTTAGGCGGGAAATGAATCGAGAGAAGTTAGACCCCACCCCCAACTTCCTATTCTCTGAGTGATTTTGTCCGGCAAGCCTTTAATCCTCCATTGTGAGCAAACGCGCTCACAGAGACAATCATTTCAAGTTCTCCAAT